GGGTCTGACCTATCTGATGGTGGCGGAGCCCTGGCAGAGTGGGCAGACCCAGGGACCCTGCCCAGCCCAGGGAGTCCCATTCTGCACTCAAAGTGGTATCCATAACCCTTGATCCCATAGCCTCTGCTTCGAGTGCTTCTCCCTTCAGCGCCCAGGCCCTGCCATCTAGCGTTCTGTGAGGCCAGGGCTGACACTGTCACATCCTGTCAGCAAGACTGTTAGCACAGCTGCCATATGCCCAGCACCCTGGCAGTTTTTGATGAAAAATTGAGAGAGCAATACATTTCTTGCCCTCCCTCCCTTTCTGGGTCATCAATAGTGCCCCAAGCAATGAGCTCCTCAATGCCCAGGAGCTCACGTGCACGAACAGCTTGGAACGACATGGCACCATGGGCAGAGCTTCAAGGAAGGTCTCGGTTCTCCACGTCGCCTGCTCTTGAAAATGCTTCTCTTATACATTGACAGCACATCTCACTCACCTGAACTTAGCTGCACTGGCTCTACACATGTTAGATGAAGGGAAAGAAAGAACCCTACCCCCTTCCTCCCACCCCCAAGCCCCCAGCGATTCCAAGAACGTCCCAGCGACACTGAGCGGCCCATCCGTCCTACAGACCAGCGAGTGAAACTAAAGGAGTCTCTTCCAAAGCCAGGGTGACCACCAGGCCCTCCTCAGGAAGCGGGAGGGAGAGGACAGCGGGGAAGCTTTCCCAAGTTCCAGCTTTTTGTTCCTATTCCTTCTGCCGGTTGAAACAGGATAAGCAAGGACGGAGCAGTGTCTCTGGTATCCAAACCGGATCCCACTGAGGTTCCATGAGACGGGCATTCATTTACAAACAGGCTTTCTGGAGAAGTGCCTAGTCTGGACTCAGGGGGGCCGAGAAAGCCTGTCCCACAGTGCGGGCAGAAAGTCGCGTCCTCCCCCCCCCCTCTCCGCCCCCCGAACGTGCCCCCAGAACACGCCCTCCTCAATCTCACCAGCCAACCAATCCCCAGAGGTCACACGTCACTGAGGTGGGGGGCAAGCAGGACGGCTGTCAACTTCTAGGTTTGGTTTTCCTTCTTTTGCATTTTTGGTCTGGACGGAAGTCAGCTGGGTCCAAGAGTGTGTGCAACCAGCACGTCCAACATGACCCAGGCGACAAGAGCCGTCCACGCTCATCTTCCCAGGTGACGAGGCCCACGCACTCATTCTGCTCTGCTGTCCACGCGGACAGGGCACTACTGCCACTTCTCCACCCAGCATCGCACAGTCATCCTTTGCCCACGTGCCTGCCACATACAGAGGTAAGAGCCGTTGGGAGAGGCTGGCAGGGCTGATCTGGGGGCACAGGCCGCCTTAGCAAGGATGTAAATGCCCAAGGGACCCTGAACCCATGTGCCACCTGCATGCCCCACACACTGCCCAGCAGGTCAGACCACAGAGAGGCCAACAAACCCCAAGCCCAGTCACAGGGACAGTCAAGTTTCCTTTGGTAAGAGAGAGAGAAGGAACAACAAACACACACGAGCAACGAGCAACGATTCCTTCTAACAGTCACCTTCTCCTCGTCCCCCACCCCACCCCCCTCGAATCCCATAAACTGTAACCTATAAACAGGATCCCAATACATACAGCATCAATCATGTTTATCCATCTTAATAAACATCAGTTAACTAAATGCTACAGCTAGAATTATTTCCACTATTTATAAAGTTTTTTTCTTTTTGTTTATTTGGTTTTTAGTTTAAAACCAGTTCTGCAACAATGCTAAACTACACTGAGGTATTTCATGAAGGGGCCAGTAGCCACCGCTACCCTCCAGCACTATCCTCACGGATTAAGGTGTCGCCATTCAAAGGGAGAAGGAAGGGAGAAAAGGAGATCCAGGTTCCAGACCAACACAGCTGCACCCACGGCTCCTGCGTGGGGCCAAGGCCGAGAGCAGAGCCAGGACAGCGCTGCTCACCAATGAGGGTGGTCGGAGCAGCAGCAGCTCACGAACCACGTGGACATCTGAACAACTCAGAGAAACCCTGCCCTCTGAGACCCTTCCGACATCTCACTGGGAGTCTCGGCGACCCGTCTACTCTCTCTGGATTGAGAAACAAGGAGGCAGAACGGGACCGCCTCAGCCTCGCCCAGGATCGCAGTCACGCGCAGTGCACGCCTCCGTCAGCTGCCTCAGCGATTCCTGGTCCAAGGAGGGTTTCCTCCTTCTCCAAAGGCAGGGGCTGCTCAGGAAGGTTTGCCACTTTATCAAGTGTTGTCCTCAAAATGTCTAAGATTGAAAATGACCCCAGGATGGCCGGGGCCAGCATTACTCGAAGAGGCCGCACACGGAACGCTCGTCACACACGGGCACAAAAGTATCCTCCTAATGCTCGTGATCAAATTAACCCGTCAACTCACTCCCACTGGCATTAGTTTAAATTCCAGATCTTTGGTCTTTTAAAGTTTTCAGCTCTAATAAACATGGTCTGAAAAACAGAATTTTAAATTCATCAATTTTTGATGCTGATTTCTGAGAAAGCATTTGACCAAACTCTCACAATGAGCTGCTCGGCTCTTCTGTAACTGAAGGCTTGGAAGTGGCGCTGGGGGTGCCAGGCCCCCGCTGCTCGCCCCAGCCAGGAGCCCCGGCCCTGCCTCTCCCTGTCAACACTGCTCCCTTTTCTTCCCATCTCACCGATTTTACTTTTTTCTCCGTAAGAAAGTTTTGTGAGGAGGACGTGGCTTGGGAACAACTTTAGACTATGAACTACAATCAGTGTCTTCTGTAAGCCACATGTCTAGTACACACTAATTGCAATGTTTACTATTAGGATTTATAATGTTAAAAGTCGACATTAATTTCCCATACTTGCAAATGTAGCAATTTAAATAGAAAATTTAATGTTAAAGATTGGGCTGAATTTAAATATTGTGTCAAGCAAATATCTGTGCTTCTGGATAATGTAGACAAGGTTCCCCTACTTTTGCAAATAAATGAAGGATAATAGGACAAAATAACATTAAAAATAAAAAAAGAGGTATAATTGTGCTTTTCCCCCCAACAATGAAAGAATTATGTGGAACAAATGGTAAAAAAAAAATCTCACTAGAAGCCTTTTAACTAATCTAATTTTCTTTCTAAAAAAATTCTTTCTAATAATCTACCATGAAGTACAAACAGGTGTGGTCCTACACAGAACAGCAGCCGGGCTCCTGTGGTTCCATCTCTCTGACAAGAAGCTGAGTAAATGGGGCTGTATTGATCTTTCTTATCAAATAAATACAGGAAGTATGTGACATCACATAACAGACTGCACCATTTACATAATTCTAAAGAGCTGCCTCCATAACTTCAGAAACATTTAAACTAATATAGTACTCAACCTATTTCTTAAATCAGGGACAGTAACAGGGTTCCTGTGAGAAGCCCTTTTCTAGGTCTTTCTGCCTTGTCCCTCAGATTTACACAGGGCACACATCACGTGCACGACCAAACTGCACTGCTTGCAATGAGTAGGGTTCAAACAGTTACATTCAGCACTCCCTCGGGAAGGCCCATCGCCATGGGCAAATATAGTATCACTACAAATGCATTAGAATTAGTCTTTGGTTTAATGTGTTAAGCAAATTCAGGGATAAAATAAAACTTGCATAAACATTAAGGGGAAAAAAGAAGACTGACACAATGAGTTGGGATGGCCTGTCTGGCCCTTCCTCTTAGAAATGCAGGAACTCAACCCAACACCTCTTTTTGATCAGTTGCCCCTCTTAATTTCCAGACTCCCACATAAGGTGTCTAACAGCTACATCTGAGTATCCAGCTTCAGAGATTCACTCAACACAAAAAGCATTTGTGGAGATGATAAAGATGACACAGTGACAAAGGACTGCAGGTTGTGTCATGAAGCAATATGGTCAGTGGGGTTCCTAGGGGTGGGGCTGGGGATCTATTTAAGCTACCCACCCAGCAACAAGCTGTTTTAGTGTTTCTCGTACATGTATAAATGTACATTCATTTCGCAACTTGTTTTTACTTGTCTAAAGATTTATTTCTTTTAAATACAGGTTTTTATGCTGGTTTAATATCATAAAGTGATCCCCAGGCACAATTCCCTTATCCTAAACTGACCAGAGAATACAGACAGGGCTGGGAATGAAGACCATCACACTGACTTGAATGTTTAGTATCCTTTTACATATTAAAGTCCATTGGTGAGTCCTACCTGGGAGAGGGAGCATCTTTGGAGCCACATAGGAAACAAACCCAGACAGTCCTGGCCCTTGCTGTTAGCCACTGGGCTGGAGTTCCTTGGGCCTTGACACTTCCTTTGGTAGTCATTTTGGGAATTAATGCTATAGCCTCTCACCCAGTATGGTGGGTATCAGCATTCCCCTCCCTGAATCTTGCCTGGAACCTGCCACTCCCAAGGGCGCAACCCATTCCCGTGGCAGCTGCAGTATTACTGATAGTCCTACAACCATTAGCACAGACTAAAGTTAGAGATATCAAGTCAGGATACAAGACTAAATTTAACTACATCAGAGAACTTGAGGGGCAGAGAGAGAAAAGTTAGTTCACCGACACTGCCATTCTATTTACACACCAAACTAAATAAACTAGTTAAAAATCAAGTTCATGTCTGCCCAGAGGATAGTACAATTTACCAACATAAAAGATTAAAAGAAGCAGCAACTTTTATATAAAATTATTAAAGACAATGAAAAAGAAATTGTCAGTAGCATCTAACTCCTCAATGTGTCTGAACCGCACGATAAAAACTAGTCCTTTAGTACAGCAGCTTGCTAAAAATTGACTTTGGTTCAAGCTTAGTTAAAAACACACACAAAAACATAAAAAAAAAACACACACCACACATAAAAAAGGTGGGTGGACATTTGTTAGTATCCCTGCTTGCAGTTCACTGATTTTGGAGGGATTTTAGGGAAAGGGAAGGGTGAGGAGAGGACACCGAGGATGGGAATTAAATACTTTGTGAAATAAAACAGGAAGACAGATGGAACAAAAGAAAAATCAACAAGGGGATGAAAATGTTTCTGGCCTTTTAACATTAATGTGCCTGTCTCCCACTTGGACGATCACAAACAGAAATGCACGACCTTTCCCAAGGCCGTGGAGACATAAGTGCACAGAACCAAGCTCCCTCCAGCACAAGTCGAGCAACGAAAATGACCGGTAAGCCCTCAGCCTAAAGCTCAGAAGGGGAAAGTGCAGCTGGGACAGGCAAGGTCAGCAAGCACCCGGGACAGCAGCCGGCCCTCGCCCTCAGTCAGACGGGCGGGCGGGCGCAGGAGCGCCTTGCAGGGATCAGTCCAGGGGTTTTGGTATAGATGCTACCATAAAGAAAAGGGGATCCCGTTTCCCAGTCACCTCGCTCCTCATCTACTTCATGAACTCCCCCTTCTCTTGGGCTCATTTACACAGTCCAGAAACACCGCACCCATGCCAGAAGCTCCTCCCTTCCCCAGAACAGCTACCATTGCCATGTGACCCGCCTCACAGGAGCATCACTAACCAGCCCAGGAGACACCCAAGTGAGGTGCACGCAGGTCCTGCTCAGTCCTCAGGCTCTCCAGACCCATGAAGCTAGTGCGTGCCTTCTCCACCAGGGGACAAGGACGGTCTTGGGGTGGCGGGTGAGAGCCACCTGGGGAAAAGTCTGTGGCTAGAGAAGGTGTAACCTCAGACTCTTCTCACCCCCCTGTTGGAGGGGGGATGGAGTTCAATCACCGATGGGAGCAGGCTAGCAAGGCTCCTTTAGAGAACAGGAGGGAAACACCCCACTCCCAACAAGTACATTTGTTCTTTGCTAAGTTGAAGGAAGTTCGGTTGAAAACCTTCCACACAATGGAACAAACACACACACACAGCAACAATAGGAGCATTTTTCAGGAGATCAGAGTCACGAGAACCACCCAGGCAGGTGTCTGCAGTAGTCTTTGCTCTTGGAGCCAAGTCCCGCCTGCAACACGTGCGGCCCTGTGAGAGGCAAGGAGCGGCGCTGGTGCACCCCGGGACCCGGCCTCGGGTCATTCAAGGTCTGAGTGAGAGCTACAGTCCAGCAGGAATTCCTTCCTACACAAAAGTGCTCCAAAGGCACCACCTGATGGGGGCGTGGAGTGGGAGCGTCTGCGCACGCTGCCCTCAGCTTCTGCACCGAGCCTCTTGCATAAGTGGCAACAGAAAACATTTCCTAGGGCCTCTGTGAGCGTCCAGGGTGAGGAAACCAGCAAGGACATTCGCAGTGAAGGACTCGAGTTCCCGACCCCTCCCCACAGTGGGAGCTCACTGAAGCAGGATCCAGGAGCGAGACACGTCCAAACCAAATATATATAAAACATGACAACAACAATAACAGATACAGTAACACGGGCCTGCCTAAATTGTACCAGTTAAGAAAGGAACCCCCAACACAATTGATACGATTATAAACACCTTGTTATGACTTAGTGGCCTGTACAACAGACCCATAAAAATGATTTTTTTTAAGAAAAAAAGGACTTTAGACAAACAAGAAATCTCCTTCCTACCCATATTAGAATTGGTAACCCACCTTGACTGCCACCGTGACCGCTGGAAATGATAAGTAGTCCTTTCACTTATTTTTTGTTTGTTTTTGATTTTTTGTTTCTGCTTTTTTTTTTTTTTTAATTTTTGGTTAGAAAGTTCTCCAATCCATGAAGCAATCCTGAAAAGACAGTGTTTTATTATAAAATTAGGCAAATGAAGTCCGGTCCTCATCCTTTCTTTCCGGCACGTGTCTTTCCTGCTCTCCTCTCCCTCGCCCTCACACTGTGGCAAGAGGGAGCCAGGGCACCTGTGGTCGCCAGCTGGCTGCCCGATGGCACTGCGCTGGAAGAGGTGGGCAGCACTCACTGCGCCTTGGAGGCGGTGGTGGTGGTGGAGGCAGCCCCACTGGCAGAGGCCACTGTGAAGAGCGTGTTCTGGATGGACTCAGTGGAGGTGGAGGCGGCGTGAAGGCTGGCGACAGGCCCAGAGTTCCCCGCGGAGGCTGCGGCGGCAGAGACCAGGCTAACCGGGTTGCTGGTGAGCAGAGAGAGGTTCTGGGGGTTCAGGAACAGAGGGGCGGTCACGATGTTGGGGGCTCCTCCCGCATTGGCAAAGACCAGGTTCCCAGTTGCGTCCAATGACGTTATTGGAAGAGAGCCACCAGAAGCAAGAGCTACAGACAAACCCCCAAAACAGGTGGGAAGGAGACAGTTAATACCATCCTGGAGAAGCCAAGGGCCACCAAATGACTTCAATCTCCCACAACCAGCTACAAAGCCCGGCCCTTCGCTGACTGTTTTTCTTAATCAGAGAGCCATCTTGTCCCACTTGAAGTTTTGTTATGATTTTGAAGGACCTAAAGCAGCGGTCACCAACCTTTCAGACCTGTACAGGCCACTGGTGGTCCGTGGACCACCGGTTGGTGACCGCTGGCCTAAAGGACTGAACAATCTAGTGAGCGTGAGCAGGGGGGAGGGAGGTAAGGCCTGTCTGACCCGCTAGAGCTGCATCTGCACTGGAGCTTCCCTGACTTCAGTGCCCACCGACAGCATTAGGTAAATCCAGCGACTGTTTTCAATAAAGATTGCCAATGTTAAACTCCCTTCAAATGACAAACTAGCTCCAGCAATCACAGCACTAAAATACAGTCAGCTTTTATCAATCCACTGGCACTATGAAAAATCTGAGCACTTTATGGCTTTATACACAAGATGAAAAGCCATCTTTCCAAAGGCTTTTGTTCTAAAATAAATTAAGTTAGCAAGTAAAGTGTAAGGTGTGACCAAGTTTGCCCCTTCTAACTTGTGCAGAGCGTGGTGGGCGTTACAGGAGGGAGCAGAGATGTGGGGATGCCCACATGGGCCATCATGGGTTAGGACTCGCTCTAGCACCTGAGAACTTTCTGTGATGAAGGCATCAGCAAGATTTTCTTTAAAATAAGTGGGCGACCGAAAGAATGGCTCAGTGGTTGAGCATTGACCTGTGAACCAGGAGGTCAGGGCACATGCCTGGGTTACAGCTCGATCCCCAGTGTGGGGCGTGCAGGAGGCAGCCGATCAGTAATTCTCTCTCACCATTGATGTTTCTCTCTCTCTCTCTCCCTCTCTGAAATCAATTTAAAAAAATAAGCGGGCATTCTCATTTACTAAATTTCCGTTATCTGACAACCCCCCAATATCTCCCTGACCCATAAAACCACATGCAGATTAAAAGGTTTCTCTAGGCTTTAAGACTTTGGTTGATTTCTTATGTAACATGTAAAGACAGCTGGAGGGACTGAGGGATCGTCCCTGACTTGGACACCATCACACAATGAGCACACACGGGGAGACTTGGTGTGGCTTGAAGTTTTCTGAGATTCCAGGCTTAGGGCCATGGACTGGTTCTAGATCTCCTCAGAGAGGTCTTTCCCGCCTGCAGTGTCTGGAGCATCACTACCACCCAAAGACACCTGCTGCCGAGAAAGTGGCTTCTCACAGTCTTATTCCAAAAAGGAGTCCTTGGCTAACAAAAGCTTCACAGAGCTAATCACCGATTCTACACAGCACGGAGGTCAGTGTGAGGCCAGGCAGTCCAGCCCATGTCTGGGACTTGTCGGTGACCAGTGTTTTCTGTGGTATGTACACTGGAGGAATATCACCCACCTGACAGCACCTTTACTCAAGTGGCTAACAGCTTATTTTTGGCCCCAAGAACTCTCACTTAAGCACAAACTATTTTAATTGTAAGAAAAAAACATTCACATTCTTTGATTATACAGGGATGTCTCTCAAGCATCTTCAGACACAAGCCGAGGCACATAAGACACACCCTTCAGTAAACCCTTTGGGATTCAGATGCACTTGAGACTGGTAGCACGCCAAGGTCAAAGGGACCCACTGGCCTTGGGAAAGGCAAGGACGGGGACACCAAAGGAACAAAGGGCAGGCCCGGCAAGGATGCGAAGTGCTCCTGGATTCCCCGATGTGCTCCGAGGGGACTGCTCAGCCGTGCTCTCTTGGGGTGGAGAGGAGGACGGGGGTTTACTTGGTCAGGGTGCCTAGGCATAGGTCTTGGATGACTAAGTCGATAAACTTGTTAGGGAGAAAGTCTGTCCCCAAGTCTATACACATAACAAGGCCAATATCAGCATAAAAGTCCTGATTTCTTACACCAATCTAGTAGGCTTCCTGTTCTAACGCCCAAACCACACCTATACTTCTTCACAAAGCTTTTTTACAAGACATTTTCTTGGTCCTCAAGTTAGTCTACATTATCAATTCAACTGTCTCCCCATCACCCTGACCTCTGGCAAAGTAGATTTCCTCGATTAAAAAAAAAAAAAGAAAAAAAGAGGTAAGTAAGGAAAGCAGCTGTACCGACCTTGAATGGTTGCCAGTGTACTGTTGCTCATCAGAGCTGGACTGAGAGCACCGCCCAGGGTCCCTGGGTTGAGACTGAGTAAGGCACCTCTGCAAGTGAAAAGAGCAGACACAGCGGTCAGCGTGACATCACGCCCAAGGGAAAACAGGCCTCGCCGGAGGGGAGGCGATGGAAGCAGCTGCAGCTCTTGTCCTCTCTACAGTCGACAGCCTGAGTCTCTGCTCTCCCTGAAGCTCACTGTGCAAACCAAACAAGACTATGACCACACAGTGTCCAACTCGTAGTCATTCAAACTTGCTCTGCATTATCTCCTTCTCTTTTCTCAAAACAAAACAAATGCCAGAGAAATAAACATATCTATAGAGTAATTCTTACTGCTGCAGCCCCTCCGCACGTTTGAGAGTCAGAAAGAGGTCAGCTGAGAGGCCAGCAGGGAACGAGTGAGATTGAGAGCCGGAAGCTGTGGGCTCCCCCTGGCCCAACCCCGAGGCACGGCCAGCGCCTGCTGCTCGTGTCTCACCTAGAAATGAAGGCCTGACTGCTGCCCTTCCAGGGTGTCCAGACACTTAAGTCCGCAATCAGCAAGGTCCTTGAGCTGCTACAGAGCAACCCATTTCAAAGACATTAAGGCTTAAAGAGTTTTATTTTGGATTTTGCGTTGAAGATGAAGATGGAAAGTCTCCCATAGAGTAAGCCCCGGGATGACCTCCTTGTGGACTCTCAGGTGGGAACAGACGAGAAAGCCCTTACCCAGCTGCGAACTGAGACGGTGCCATCAGGCCTGGGCTCAGTCCTGCAGCGGCAGCCATGGCAGCGAGACTCGCGTTCGCCGGCAACTGCGCAGCTCCTTGGAGGGCGGCCGCGGCTGCTGTTTGCAGCCCTGACGCCGTCACCATCACCTGGCTGGTCCCGAGAGGAGAGGGCAGAGGAGTGGAGGTGGTCTGTGTTGTGCTGGTCTCACTAGCACTCGAGGCCTCAGAGGTGGAGGCTGAGGCAGTAGGGGAGGGGCTCAGCGAGGGGGAAGTGACTGCGGAGGAGGCCGGAGGCGCGGTGGAAATCACGGTCGCAGTGTTGTTGGCGGTGGTGTCTGTAGTGCCTGAAAAGAGGGCTGTGTTAGGAAGGAGCTGTGGGGAGCCTGGAGGCGGGTCTCTGTTCAGCCAACTCCAGGAACAACTGACCAATGACTCTACCAGCCAGCACCTCAAAATGGGTACTTTTCACTAACCTCATTAGTGCATCTGTACACATGAACCACAAAAACAAACCCTTTAGAACCTAAGCTTAGAAAATAATGAACTAACCTTCCTAATGCCGCAACCCTTTAATACAGTTCCTCATGTTGTGGTGACCCCCAACCATAAAATTATTTTCGTTGCTACTTCATAACTGTAATTTTGCTACTGTTATGAATCGTAATGTAAATATCTGATATGCTATATGTGTTTTCCGATGGTCGCGACCCACAGGTTGAGAACCGCTAAACTAGAGGGTGTTGGGCTGGAACTGGAGACGAAGTATGGATGCATGGGTTTAATACACGGGACAGCTAGTGAAGATGGATGGTGCAGATGAGTGAATGTACACACACGTGTGTATCTTACACACATTCCCGTGTGTGTGCACACTTATTTCAGTTGAGATGCCCTAGAAGCAACAATGCGTATCAGTGAGTGTATCTAATGCCTCCACCTTGGTTCCAAAGTCCTTTCCTCACTAACTGGAACTCGGAAACCTTGGAGAAATGGCTGCTTCCAGGCCTGGGCAGAGAAACGTGAAGATGAGCCTGAACATCTTGTGCCAAAAAAGAAGGAACCACTTAAAGAAGGACAGGGGAGCCAGCTGAAGGGACTCCCACTGGCCAATCTGGGACAATTTAACCCTGAAATAGGGGTACAATTCTAACCTGTTGGATACAAAAGAATGTCTGAATTCATACTGATACAGACAGATAAAGAGGGAAAAGGCAAAGTTCATCCTTAATTTAATAAATGCGAATAAAAACATTTATTCACTTTACATGCCATGGTTAGGTCACAGAGCCAAAGAGGTACGATGAAGTTAAATACGAGTGCAGAAAAATCAATTTCCCCACCTGGAGGTTAAATCCAAACTGCACCGTGAACCATCAGAAATCCGCCCGCCCAGAGCTTCATACCCATCATCAACCCGGCGAATAATCGCAGAATGCCTCACACATCGTGCCATTAAGAACTGCTGATGACAGCACTGAGTTCATTTTAAATGTATTTGAGAAATCTACTCAAAAGGTGGCACAGGGAAAAATTTAGTCATTCATTTTATAGTGAATGTGTCAGGCACTAAACGAGGCAGAGATTAAAAAAGAAAATCCAGGCCTTTTGAGAAGTACAAAGTCTATTGGCAAAGAGAGAATAAATTATAAAACTATAATCATTGGTGACACAGGCAGGGGACAGAAAGTTCTGCAGGGGAGCTCAACACTACTTCCAGGCGGCATGGACACCTGACCCGGAGCAGCCCTGCCACCATCAGAAACGTGCAGGCAGCTGGCCGACACCTGAGGCTGCACCTGCTCACAGACCCGCCAGCCTCTGTGGGCCAAGGACAGTGGATGGCGACCAGTGGAGACAAGGGTCACACTGGAAAGTGCCTTCTACAAAGCGAAGGGGCATCTGATCTGATGTTGTCTTGATGCAAAAAGCTGTAGATAGTCAAGGTTTTTAAGAAGAGCTACTTGAAAAAAAGTGTGTGTTTTGAGAGATAATCCTGGGAGTAATGGAGAAGACAGAGTAAGGTGAAAAAGAACAAAAAAGATGAAATCTTTGTGTGAAAGTATTATTTCTGACAAAATTAATTGTGCCTGATTTTTCTTGGAGTTTGGGTTTTCACATATAACTTTAAAAAAAGCAATACCTCCCTAGAGCTGTAATTCACAGCTTAATGGCAGATTCTCACAGGAACCTCTCATGGCTACCAGCTGCCTCACAGCTGCACAGACCAGATGGTGATCACCTGTACTAGAGAGGTAGTAATCTGTACCAGAGAAGTGGTTACCTGTACTAGAGAGGTGGTTCCCTGTGCCAGAGAAGTGGGTACCTGTACTAGAGAGGTGGTTGCCTGTACCAGATTACCTGTACCAGAGAAGTGGTTACCTTTAACAGAGTAGTAGTTACCTGTACCAGAGAAGTGGTTACCTTTAACAGAGAGGTGATTACCTGTACCAGAGAAGTGGTCACCTGTATCAGAGAGGTGGGTACCTGTACCAGAGAAGTGGTTACCTGTACTAGAGAGGTGGTTACCTGTAACAGAGAGGTTGGTTACTGCAGCGCTGGTCAGAGGGAGGACGGGGTTGACTGTGAGGGTAGTTGCTGCACTGCTGGTCACAAGGCTTGGCGTGGTTGCCACCTAGAGGTCAGAAATGAATATGCAAAAACATTAAAAAATATATAAAAGCCTAAGCGACCGTTACGACTGAATGACCAGAATGACCGGTCGACCAGTCGTTATGACGTGCACTGACCACCAGAGGGCAGACACTCAATGCAGAAGCTGCCCCCTGGTGGTCAGTGTGCTCCCACAGCCAACCTCCCGCAGCCCCTCCTTTCCCCACCCCCCCCCCCCCCACCGCCAAACTCCTGCGGCCCCTCTCCCCTCCCCCGACTGGTCCACCCATCGGCCCCAATCAGGGGGCTGGCTGGCCAACCTCTCGGGGTCCCTCCCCTCAGCTGGCCAGCCCTGATAGGCCTTGATCACCCGCCAGGACGAGGGACCCCACCCGTGCACGAATTTGTGCACTGGGCCTCTAGTTTAAAAATAAAAACTTAAAATTCCATTCATAGACTTATTTTGCCTATAAAAATTTTCAATGCCAGGACAGAATTTAAATATAGAATAAAAATAGAATAAAGTAAATGGGCCTGAGAGGAGAAGGTTTTTCATTCCTCCTGGGTCTGCGCTGAGCCCCGGTTCCCCTGGAACTGAGAAATGTGCGCCTGCTGAAAGGCTGCCGTCAAAGGTGGCTCTTTACTCGCCTGACGCATGGCTTTGCCCAGGTTTCACACAGAAATAATTTAAAAACTTCTCAATCTCAGTAATGGTGGGTCAGATGTAATCTAAGTCAGTAGGAAGTATTATGCTAATTGTTCCCTTAGCCTAAATAAGGAAACTATTCCGGAGGACCCGTGAATCGCAGCTTGTTTTATTTTTGACTCTGTGGGGGCAAGAGTGTCTTGGATTTGTTCTTAATGAAATGATGTCATAGAAAGAATGTAAAACAAATTTTTAAAAAACAACAAAATATGCCTACAGTTTTGTAAAAAAAAATACTGTCTTCTTTCTCGTTCAAATAAATCCAAACACAAGTAAACAGTCAGCGGCACAGGACAAAGCTCCCCTGACAGCCTCTCACAGGGGACTGGACCCCCCCACACCCCCCCTCCAGCCTTCCCCTAAACCACTGGGTGCTCTCACAGTAAACTGTTATGAAATACAATGACTGAACGGGTCCCTTGTAAACTGTGAAATGAGCCCGAGCTCCCCGTTTCCTGCCTTACCAGGGAGGTCGGGCTGGGGAAAATTGCTTTGATAGGCGAGCTGCTGGTCCCACCACTGCTGGGTGGGTTGATCCTTTTTTCTTTCTGGCGGCGGTTACAAAACCAAACTCGAATCACCTCCTTCTCCATGTTGAGCTGCTCAGCAATCATGGTGATCTCTTCCGAGGTAGGCTTTTGATTCTGAAGGGGAAAATCATCTTGTGGAATAACCTTTAGAACTATTGGCACAACCATGCCTTTATATAAACTAACAAACATGGAGGGACAGGCCAGGGAGTAAAGTTGGGATGTCAATGACCAACAGGCCCACCTTAACAAAATGTCTACAGATAAACATTCCAATGAACATAAGTCTATTAAATTTATTCCTGGTAACTTAGAATAAGTTATTCTTGAATGTTTACTTTGGTTGTTGTTGTTTAGCTTGTGGGGCAGGATAGGAAGTGCTTCCCAGATAAAGGGACCTCCCAGATAAAGGGACTCAGTGACTGATCAAGGATTCGGGTCCTAAAGTGGCAGACGCTGGACTCCTGACTCAGTGCTCCGTCCACAGTGCTCAAGCCTCTCTGAATCAGAGTCAGAATTTTGTTGGAAGCTTTGATTGAGATATTTTCTGGTTAAAAAAACAAAAACAAAAAACAAAAAAACACACCCAAAAGCCAAGTGTCTGTTGAATTAACTTGAACTCGATACGCTGACATTCAAGGCCCTCTGTGTCCTGGTCCCAAACTGCTGGTCTAGGCAGACACTAGAACTCAGCCAAACCGAACCGGTGTCTGCGCTGACCCCTTGGTTCCCCTGGATGCCTTTGCTCTCTTCCCTGCGCCTCCCTGTCTGGGGTCCCTGTGCCCCTTGACAGCTGCTGCCTGTCACACGAAGGACTCCGTGGATGTGAGCCTACTGCCTGAGCCCCAGGCACGCATAAACGTAAACTGGGTTGTCTTATTTTCTCCACGATGGGATAAGCATCCGTAAGGGCTGTGGCTGACAGACCTAATGTTAGCACCATGCCAACAATCCCACGCCCACGAAAAGTAAAATCCCCACAATCCCCACTCACCTCCAGGAAACTCTTCTCTAAGGCCACACGGATGTTGGTCTCTATGCTGGTGCGTTTCTTCCTCCTACGGTTCAAGCCCTCGATTCCCTGCCCTGGAGAATTCAGGGCACTTGGGCTGGAGAGAGCTGAATCTGACGAGAGGTTCTCTGTAAGAAAGGAGAAAACAGGAGGTCGAAGGAGTTGCGCATACTTCACACACGTAGCACGCGTATTAACAACATAACAAAGGCGACCAAGACAGTTTATGCTCCAAGTGCATGAAAAGGTTTCCATAACCCACATGGACATACAGCGCTCCTCACTACTTTAGCTGCGGTCTGAGACCGGTCGGCTGTCTGTCCCCGCTGCCTTCTGACTTGTCTCTGAGAAAGCACAGGGTTACTCTTTCTGCCCTGAGACTCAGCTCTACCTCTTCTGAGTTCTGTCCTTCTGTTTTGGTTTTGCTTGCTTATTTATTTATTTACTAGAGGCCCGGTGCACGAAATATGTGCACAAGTAGAGTCCCTAGGCCTGGCCAGCGATGAAGGCTGGCCCCCTTCCTCGGCTGCCGGCCGGGGCCTTCCTTCATTCTGCACCATCCCCTGGTGGTCAGCGCATGTCATAGTGTGCAATAGAACTACCAGTCTCCCGGTTGAAATCCCAAGGGGACAATTTGCATATTAGGCTTTTATATATATATAGATTAGCTCTAGGGATAAAAGAAAGCTTGTTGGAAATTATTGAACACTTAATATTTATCTCACAAATGACCTCTCATTTTACTAGTATAATCTAGGGCAACACCTCCCCCAAAACCAAACAAGAATGAATTACTTCTAAATTCTTGGTAGTTGAAACAAGCAAGATTCCGTCATTAATAGCTGAATGACCCCGGGCATCTCGGAACCGGCTCTGGGACTCTTTCCACTCCATGCACACGGAGGGAAGGGCAGAGAAGCGGTTCTCACCTGTGGAGCTCAGAAAGGGTCCAGGGCCATGGAATCAGACTGTCCGAGGGAGGGGGTCACAGTCTGCCTTTTCCAAAGACCTGGTTTTGCTCCCATCTAAACAGGAACTGCCGTCTAGGGGATCTGCACTTTCCTTGCAGCCCACAGTCTGTGGTTCTGTGACTCAAACTTCAAATTTCCCAAAAGGAAACCTCAGTACAAAACACACAAGTTAACACTGGCCACTCAACTTCTCATGAGTGAACTATGTAGTCGTTTTTAGTAACAAAAGCAGAAATATCATCAAGAACAAATTTACTATAATTCATCAAGGAAGAACTAATAAACTTGTTTTTCAACTTCCTTTTTTCCTCTTGCTTCAACTGCCCCTAACCCTTTGGAAATGTTCCAAAACTAAAAACAATTGTTGACTGTGTGCATTGCAATTACTATTTAAACGAATCTCTGATTTATGGAACCATAACTTATCCCTTGGATCCTCCCAAGACTGGCGCACCTCAAGGCTCTGTAGCGCCAATAATGCAATAAGAAATCTGAACCCCTTCCTATACGACAGCCCCTGTAAGATTCCCACAGGCAATGAGGCCATTTCTCACCCACCTGCATCATTGAGCCACTTCTCCAAAAGTGGCTTTAACTTGCACATGTTCTTAAAGCTGAGGTTCAAGGCTTCAAAGCGAGAGATGGTAGTTTGGCTGAAGTCATTTCCATACAGTTTACCCATCGCAAGCCCAACATCGCCCTGTACAGAAACACAGAAAGGAGCGGGAGGACGAGCAAGAAGAGAGTCATCTCACCAACAGTGACAGCCTTCCCTCCACAGGCCCCCGTAGACGAAGGCTCGACAATGAGCCCCTTCGTAGGGTGCCACAAAAACACCCACCCCCTAAGCTGGGCCCAGCGCTCCAGTGAGGAGTTAGGCCCCAATCTTACAACAATCAAAACTGTCCCACATTCTCTCCATTTTGAATCTCTTCTTGCCACCTTATATAATAGTTAAGATTATCAAATATTTATACTAAGTCTCAAAAGATGGTGCTAATATTCTAAACCAGCCCCTTAATTCATGTAACCAAAGTGGTTTCAGTAATCCTACAGAGTTAACACAAGTAACCGCCTCGATAACCTCAGGATTTATGAACTGTTTCCATAAATGACTTTAAAATCTAGAAATGCTCCCTTACTTCTTCTCCCCCCTGTAAATTATTTCTGGAAGCATTGAAAAAATCTATTTTCCACCCTTAGTTTGGATTTCAAAGTTGGTTATAAAAAACAGGTATTCTAAAGGACTACTTTTATAACTGCTAGAGAGAAAGAAATTCACAGTGGAGAGGTATGACCCATTTAGTCAAACCTTCATGGGCACTGAGACTTGGTCCTCTTAAAGCAATGGAACAATGACCCCTGAATATATTACACAGATGTCTTTCTCCTAAGCCTATCACCCCTGAATGTACACAGTGCTTTCCTTCCAGCCAAGTGAATCGCCTTTAAAGCTGGAAAAAGCCACATCTTCAGTTTTTGTTCAGGTAACAGAGGCTCCTAGAGTTTAAATGATTCGCCCTCTCATTCCATTAGTTTAGTGACAGGGCAGAAAGACCCTTCTGGGAAGTGCTGTAGAGCTCATTCCATCGTGGGACACAAGGGATAGCACAGGCCCAGCCACCGCCAGCAGGGACTGTGAATGGGGATTAGTCGTTTTTTGATTCCCCTACATTCCATCCTTGGACACTACACGGTTTATTCGCACCTGTGCTAGGTGATGGTCAGGGAGAGGGAAGGATATTTTTTTTCTTTTATTTTGTATTTATTTATTTATTTTTAATTCTTTATTAGTTAAGGTATTACAAATGTGTCCTTATACCTCCCATTAACGCCCCCTACTCATGTTCTCATCCCCCTGTTGTCCATGTCCCTTGGTTTGGCTTATATGCATGCATACAAGTCCTTTGGTTGATCTCTTCCCCTTACCCACTCCCTCCCCTACTTTCCCTCTGGGGAGTGATAGTCTGATCGCTGTTTCTCTGTCTTTGGGGGAAGGATATTTTTTAAACTCGATTTCCTCACTGGTAAGCAACTTGTGATACAACGTGTAACAGAGGATAAAGCTGGAATGGAAGGTGACATGAGGCACTGAGAACCAGACCTTCCCTGGGCTGTCACTTGGCCTTCCCCAGGAGAACCTCCAGCCCCAGGTGGCTATTTAAATGGAAATTATTCAAAACAAGTAAATTAAAACCAGTTCCTCAGCTCCCCCAGCCAGCCTGCTGCTCAGCAGTAGCCACACAGGCATAGTGGCTGTCCTACACCGACAGTGCCACTGACTGCTCTGGACATCTGTCTCCAGGACAGAAGTGACTGCTTAGTGATTTCCGTCCAGTTACAGCAAACAGAGAACCAGGATAGTGCGAGTGGCATAAATGCTAAATCTATCTGTAGACAGATGTCTATCTGGATCGATATCTCTGTACATTTAGTCAATCACAAACATTCACTAAGTGCCTACTAGATGTCTGATAGTAAACTAGGCTGTGTGTCTTGGTCACCTTACTTGTTTAAATTACAGCCTGCTAGAGAGTTGGACCAACCCAACCTTACAATTCTTTGCATATGGGGCCTGCTCTAGCAGTTAAGATGGCAATAACTGTTTCTGACATTGTAACTCACAGCTCACTAGAAGTTTTTTCACAAACTTCTATAATATCTATGAAAAGTAACAATATTGACAAGAAAACAAAAACTAAAGTACCTATTCAAAAATCACATCATAAGAATAAATGCCTTAAGTTGGTGGCTATGCCATCAACTAAGTAAAACTATGGCAATAAATTACAAATTGACTTAATTGAGATGTATAATACAGTCTTACTTCACATTTAAATTATTTAATTGGATAAAAGCAATAGGTCCTCCCTTAGTTAATATACTAATGTTCATTAATTTGAGGTACTGTGGCTTGGTGCTTTTGTAACTCAAAACCATTGGGGTTATCCCTCACAGAAGTAAATGTTTGAAGCAGCTGACTCATACATAATCTATATTATATCCCTTTGATATTTTTTAAAAAGCAAAAGGGAAAAGGAACAAAGATTGGGATTAGGAAATAATGAATGTGTCACGTGTGAGAAAAGTGTCACACCATGGCCTCCTAATTATGAAATGACATCTACAGTAACCCTTTCATAACCAATGATGTAGTCAGAAACAGCTAATAACATGGAGATTTCTCAAAGCAGAGGGATTTTTTTTTGTCTTAACTAATCATTTGAAATCTGTGTGTGTATAAATAAACTGGATACAAAGCAACCTTTGAATAACTACAACTGAGGTACATGCCTTAAACACAAAGGCTGATTTCCCCATCCTGCACCAGTAACATGTGCTTTAATCTAAATAGTCAAGGTCTGTGAAATATAGGCACTGCTATATCAGAGTCATTTTGAAAAATAAGGCACAGTTGTGCCAAATAATAGGATAAAACCATAAGCAGAACACCAGACCACAGGGAAACTCTTCAATATATAAGAGAGAGAGGCACACACCCACACAACACTGGCACTATGTTGGGTCAAGTGCCACAGAAAGGCAAACCACTATCTATCTGGGTAAAAGTTAAAGATTTTAAAAAGCCTTAACATCCTTGGCATATCGCTTAGGCAACTGTTTCCTAGGGAACCTAAGAGTATGCTGTGCTAATAGCTTAAAGCTGAAACTCTGAGGATTAGTCCAAACTGACACATATTTAAGCACAGTAACGTACTCCGCTCAATCTAGCTGTATCTTTTGCTTTCTTTTAAAGAATAAGCCAGATCATTCAATGTTTCAATCTTTCTTAATTGCAATTTGTTTCCTCACAATTGAAACTCCTCACAAATACGTAACTGCATTATATCTAACATTATAGCTATTGAAAAAATCATTTTATGTGCCTAATATATAATTAGTTTCTTTGAGCAAAAATAAACTACCAAAGATATTAGGAATACAAGTCTGTTCATAAAAACACCAGGACACATGCAGGGACGTCACCCTGGTGTCCGACCTGCCTGAGCAGGTGGTACATTACTGTTCTTCCGACACAAAGGATATGGGACAGTACGTAAGTGGTGGCTCAGATTTCAAATAGCAATTATATTCTCTGGAAAGAAAACATTAGGTTTTTCCTGATTCCATAAAAACACCCAATCCAATCTATACTTCAGTAATTTTTTTCATCTAATGATCTTCTATTATCTATATACTAGAGGCTCAGTGCACAAAATTCATGCATGGGTAGGGTCCCTAGCAGCTGCCAGCTACCGGCCAGGGTCTCCCTTCCCCTGGCTGCCTGCCCCATCGCCAAATCTCACCATGTTCCGCACCACCCCCTGGTCGTCAGCGCACGTGTAACTCCCTGTCAGTCAAACTCCCGCTGGTAGGGACAATTTGCATATTAGCCTTTTATTATACACTAGAGGCCCAGTGCACAAAAATTTGTGCACTCGGGGGGGGGGGTCCCCCCAGCCCGGCCTGTGCCCTCTTGCAGTCTGGGACCCCTCGGGAGATAACAACCTGCTGGCTTAGGCCTGCTCCCGGGTGGCAGAGGGCAGGCCCAATCCCTAGGTGCAGCCCCTGGTCAGGCTCAGAGCAGGGCCGATTGGGGAGTTGGGGCGCCGCCCCTGTCATGCACAGAGCAGGGCAGATTGGGAGGTTGTGATGCCACCCTCAGTCACGCTCAGGGTAGGGCCGATTGGGGGACTGGGGCACCGCCCCCTGTCACACTCAAGGCAGGGTCGATGGGGAGGTTGCGGCGCCACCCCCTGTCACACACAGAGCAGGGCCCATCAGGGTGTTGGGCGCTGCCCCCTGTCATGCACAGAGCAGGGCCCATCAGGGGGTTGGGGAGCTCCCCCCTGTCACACACAGAGTAGGGCCGATAGGGGAGTTAGGGCACCGCCCCCTGTCACACACAGAGCAGGGCAGATCAGGGGGTTGGGGCGCCGCCACTGTCACACTCAGGGCAGGGCCGAGGGGAGGTTATGGCCCTACCCCGTCACACACAGAGCAGGACCCATGGGAGAGGGGAGTTGGGGCGCCGCCCTCTATCACCCACAGAGCAGGGCCGATCAGGGGGTTGGGGCGCAGCCACTGTCACACTCAGGGCAGGGCCGATGGGGAGGTTATGGCTCTACCCTGTCACACACAGAGGCAGGGCCTGTGGGGGGGGGGGTTTGGGGCGCCGCACCCTGTCACACACAGAGCCGCAGGGCGATCAGGGGATTGGGGAGCTCCCCCCTAACAGGCACAGAGCAGGGCTGATCAGGGGGTTGGGGCGCCTTCCCCTGTCACGAACAGAGCAGGGCGGATAGGGAGATTGTGGCCCCGTCCCCTGTCACACACAGAGCCGCAGGGCGATCAGGGGGTTTGGGCACTGCCCCCTGTCACGCTGATCCGGTGCCAGGAGGCCTCGAGGCTCCGCTGATCCTGGTGCTGGGAGGCATATTACCCTTTTACTATATAGGATAGAGGCCTGGGGGCCGGCTGGTTTGCCCTGAAGGGTGTCCTGGATCAGGGTGGGGGTCCCCACTGGGGTGCCTGGCCAGCCTGGATGAGGGGATGATGGCTGTTTGCAGCTGGTCATACACCCTTCAGGGTGGGGGTCCCCACTGGGGTGCCTGGCCAGTCTGGGTGAGGGGCTGAGGGCTGCTTTCAGGCTGGCGGTTTTTGACTGAAGCTCCCAACTGCTCCTTTTTTTTCTCTTTTTTTTATTTTATTCTGGGCCAGCTTTAGCTCTGGCTCTAGCTCTGAGGCTTCCCTGCTGAGCGTTCTATAATCGAAACAATGTATAACTCCAGCTCTGAGATCTGAAAGCTGGTTTCTGGGGTTTAGTTTATCTTCTATATTTGTTACAAAGTTTCAAACTGCCAGCTCAGAGGCCCGCAAGTCAGGCGGGGAATGCTGGAGTCTGCAGTCACTGAAGCAAGCAAGCCTCATGTTCGCTTCCAGCTGCCTGGCTGCCGGCCGCCATCTTGGCTGACAGTTAATTTGCATATACTCACTGATTAGCCAATGGGAAGGGTAGCAGTTGTACGCTAATTACCATGTTTCTCTTTTATTAGTGTAGACTAGAGGCCCGTTGCACAAAATGCGTGCACTGGGGAGGTGGGTGGGTCCCTCAGCGAAAGGGTGCAGGCCAGGCCAAGGGATCCCACCAGTGCATGATTGGGGCTGGGGAGGGACGCAGGAGGGCTCCAGGGCGTGTCCGGCCCGTCTCACTCAGTCCCAATTGGCCGGACCCCAGCAGCAAGCTAACCTACCGGTTGGAGCTTCTACCCCCTGGTGGTCAGTGCACATCATTGTGAGTGGTTGAGCAGTCTTTGCATATCATTAGCATATTACGCTTTGATTGGTTGAATGGACAATTGGACACTTAAGCATATTAAGCTTTTATTATATAGGAGGTTATAAAAGCCTAAGTGACCATTTGACCGGTAGCTATGACACGCCATGACCACCAGGGGACAGATGCTCAAAGCAGGAGCTGCTGAGCAACAGCAACTTTGCAGAGTGCCCGCTCGCACTCTGGGACTCCTCAGAGGATGTTGGACTACCGGTTTCAGCCTGATCCCTGCAGGCCAGGCCAAGGGACCCCACCTGCCGGAGGGACCCCGCTCACTCCGCAGATGCCCTTTGAACCCCGGTGCCGTCCCAGGTGGGGCCAGCTGGGGAGGAACCACGGGAGACTGGTTCCAGGGTGTATCTGGCCAATCTTGTTCAGTCCCACCCCACCAGCCACCTTCTAATTAATTTCCTTTCAATGTGCACGAATCTGTGCACCGAGCCTCTAGTTTTACATAAATGCCATTCAATTTCCTTCCACTCCAGTGTCACTTACGCAGTGAATGAGAGGAATTAAAGCAGTGCCTATAGGCCAAGCCTCCTGCCTAACCACTGGTCATATTCTACTCTAAATGCTCTGCTACCTGGCATTAAAAAAACTTAATTTGGATTTTTCATCTTTGACAGATTCTTACTTAATTTGTTTCAGTTTAGGCTTATTTTGTACATGTGCGCACACACATGGGTGTGTGCATGCAAGCGCATGTCTCCACCCCCTACAAAAAACTATTTCAAACAAGCCTTTCAAACGTTCCCCTGTCAGCTACTCTGAGAGACTTGCAATCTTGACTCTCTTTACCTCACATATATAGCACTAAGGTCTAGAACCAGATGTTCTTCAAATAACAAAACCCTCAGTATAGTCATACCATCCCCTAACACAATCTTTTAATTTCTCAGCACTATTAGTATAATTATAATTTCAGAGGCCTGTGTTCTGAGAGAGTCTTAAAGGTTTTAACCTAGCATTAAATCATAAGTTTATAACCAAATATATACAATAGTCTAATCTTATAGATGCAGGAAAACTAATGGACACATAAAGCAGGCTGAGTAGGGAAATCCAAGTTTAGGGCGGGCTCATCTACCTGAGTGAATCCAAGTTTGATTCGTCTTTGTTTGAAGGTCTTGGCAAACTGCTCAAGCTCCTCAAGGTCACTGGGCTCCTCCAAGCTGGGAGTGTCGATTCGCTTTGGTGTTGCCTGGCTCTGTGGAAGTGTCTGAATTGGGGTTGCAGCTATTGTGCGTGTTGGGGTTGCTGGCTGTTAGAGAAGGAGAAGGAGAAGAACAGACATACAAAAAGGTGTTTAGGCTGCAACTGGACTGTACAGCAAGTAAACAACCTAAGGAAACAGCTGTATTGGGGGAGGATTATGGAGACCCTGCAACAGGTAGTTTTGTGGAGAAAAGCAGAATGTGAAATCATGTACCCCAGAATCACAGATAAGGTTAAAATGTAAGCACGAGTAAAGAACTTGTCTACCTAAAAATGAAACCCAGTATATTCGGGTTTTTAAATAGTCTGAATACATGTATTTTATGCCTTTTCATAGATTAGTCCTCATTTTTTAGACTCTACTTAATAAACATACCACTTAAACTATAAGTCTCAAAACAGCAGGGACTAATCTATCTTGTTTATCACTATCTTGTATATCTCCAACTTGTGACACAATATTATAAAAATATTACTATAAGATTATTAAAAGTATTTTAAGAAAAGCAAACCACCTACAGTTTAAATAACTTAATAGCTTCATTTGTGTATATTTCCTCCAATTTTCCACAGATCTACATTTCTTTTCTTTATTATCCTGTTTTCCCCCCATTGATTTTTAGAGAGTGGAAGGGGGGTGAGTGAGAGAAACATTGATGAGAGAGACACATCGATTGGTTGCCCCCTCACGCCTGCCCATGCGCCCCTTCCGGGACCAGGGATCAAACCCACAACCCAGGTATGAGCCCTTGACTGGGAATCAAACCCATAACCCTCCAGTGCCTATAGACGCTCCAACCACTGCTCAGTGGTCAGGGCAATTACGTTTTTTTATTCCTATGATTTTTCAGTTTTCCTAATTATCATTTTCAAAGGCTGACGGAAGCAATACGATCATAATTTATTTAACAATTTCTTCATTGCTGGACACTTCTTTGTTTTCACTAGCACAGGTGACACCACAACAAATGGTTCTGCATGTAGTTCTTTTCCCACCTCTGGAATTAGTTCTCTGAGGTAAATTCATGAAGCACTTCTGTAACCAGATAAAGGGCAGCCGGAGACAATGGCATCGCATCTGATCCACAGCAGCATGTCGGTTCTCACCATCCAATCTCTCCCCAAAATCTGTCAGCAGTTTTCAAAATGTTTGCTAATTCACTGTTGCCCTAATTCGTATTTCTCTTATTACATAAAGTCAAAATTTCCCCATGTGTGAATTATTATCTGTATCTCCTTTGATGTGAATTAGTTTTACATCTGAACCCATTTGTATAAATTATTAATGATCTTCTCATTCTTATCCTTAAAGAACTCATCAAATGTTATAGATTGTGCTGCATTAATGCAAATTTTTCCTATCTGTTTTTCCTTTTATTTTTCAACGTACCTAACTTTTAAATTATCAAAAGAAAAAAAGGGGGGGAAACTTTTTTCTTTTCTAATATCATGTGTTGCTTCAAACCTGAAAAAGCTTTCATTTATTTCTAACTTGGATAAATTTTTTAAATATTCTACCTGCTTCTTCTATGTATTTTAAAATATTTAATTACTAAAATCCATCTAAAGCTTACTTGGGGACATGAGGGTATAATCTTTCCTTTTTTAGAAGAAATATAAAATGTCCTTATGAAAACACAAGCGCTAGGAGACGCCCTTCTCAGTATCACTATGACAGACAGGTGCTGCCGTGAGTGCATCCATCGCTCAGCTGACCCTTCCTGTGCATGGTGCCTGGGTTGAGAGATCGCAGGCCAAGATCACACACCACGTCTGTGGCTGTGAGTTTTGCTCTTGTCGTTGAAATGGGTCATATACCCTTACTTGGACCTCATTAGTAATATTCTCTCTCCAACTGAACTCACTAGCCCAGAAAACTAGACAATAGGACTCCGCAGGCCTGCAGCTGGGTAAGCACCTCTCTGTCCTGTGCAGTGAAGACAACACTCATTTCTGACATGGTGACACTAGTAATTTTTAACCTGGCCCTTGGGGAGGTGCCCAAAATAGCACCAACCACACCAGACACCTACATGGCTGTACACTTCCCAGTCTCAACTGTCAGACTATTACTTCACCTCCAGGCTCGAAGTAGCATTGCTCTCAAATAATAAAGGACTAAGCATCACTTGGGTCACCTTAGGTGGAGTGGTTATAGAGGCGTTGCTCCAGCCCCAGCAGCCTGAGGCCGGGCTGGCCCAGACTTCAAGGACAGAGTGGAATCCAGTGAGCAGGGGCAGGATAACACAACGCCACCATGTGCAGAGCAGGTGGGCCAGGAAGGAGTCACTTAGGTAAGGTCTTCTCAAAACTCCACCCTTACTTTTCTATTCCGCATATTCACAATAAAATGTGCCGTTTAGTGTGCAGTTTGAAGTGTTTTGACAATCACATAACTGCTACAAGTGATTCAGGATATTTCCATCACCCTCAAAGTTCCCGTGCACCCTGTGCTGTCCGACCCCACCCAGGGCCCCCGCCCTGGCGACCACTGATAGGACTTATACAAATGGAATGGCTCAGCAGGCGTCCTTCATGCCTGGCTTCTGGCACTTGAGCAGTGCTTTTGAAATTCACACATGGGCTTCGCTGCATCAGAGCACATCTCTTGCTACTGCTGAGCAGCATCTGCCGCGTGGCTATGCCAAATGATGCACTATCTATTCAACGGCTGATGGGCATCTCGGTTGTTTCCAGTTTGGAGTGACTATGAATAAAAGTGCTTCGAACATTCATATACAGCGTTTGGAAGAACTGCTAGGTCAGAAGGCATATAGATAGTTAACTTGATAAGAAATTACCAAGCTGTTTCCTAAAGCATCTGTACTGTTTTGCAACCCTACTAGCTGTATGCAAGCTCTAGTTGCTTCACCTTCTCGCCACCCTGGTTACTGTCAGTCTTTTTCATCCTGCCCGTTCTGGCGGGTATGTGGTGATATTAGCATTCCCTCAGGACTCATGATTTGGGGCACCTCTTCATATGCTTCCTGGGCATTCACATACCTTCTTCAGTGAAGGATCTTCAAATATTTTGCATGCAATCCCTTTTTGGAACATCAGGTTGTCTCATGATTGAGTTGTATGAGCTCTTTATATATCCTGGGAACAAGTCTTTTATCAGATATTAGTAGCCCTGCGCACAAATCCATGCGCCAGTAGCTCGCTGCCGCCCTCCTGTAGCTCTCCACCTGCTGCCCCGCCCTCCTGTAGCTCCCCCTGCCCCCCACAGCTTGCTGCCCTGCCCCTTCCTGTATGTAGCTCTCCGCAGCCCACTTGTAGCTCGCTGTCCCACCCTCCTGCTGATCCGTGATCCGGTCATTACGCTGTCGGTTGTTATATAACAACATTTTGCATATTATATCTTTATTATATAGGGTAAGTTTTCATAATGTTTTCTTCCAGCCTGTGGCTTTTCTTTTACCAGAAGCTTTTACTTTTTACAAAATCCATCAACTTTTTTCTTTGATGGTTAGGACTCTTTAATACCATTTAAGAAATCATTACTGTGCCCAAGGACACAAAGACTATCCCTGAATTTACTTCTAGAAGTTTATGTCTACAACCCACTTCAAATTCACCTCCACTCAGCAGGAGAACCAGGACCAAGGTCCTGTCTTCACTGTGCACGGCCCACTGGACAGTGCCACTTGTTGAGAGACTTTTCTTTCCCTGGAAGCCTCTGGCACCTTCGTGGGCAGTCAGCTGCCCACAGATGTGTGGCCCCACTGGACCTTTGCTCTTCCCATTTCTATCCATGTGTCAGTCTTACACCGTCTTCATTACTGTAGTTTACAGTAATTCTTGACATCAGGCAGCCTTTCAACTTTCTTACTTTTCAAAATTGCCTGGCTATTCTATGTCCCCCACAATTCCATATATGTCGGTTAGAAATGGCATGTAAATTTCTAAGAAACCCATCTGGGTACTGGTGGCATTGTGTGGGAGCCAAAGATCAATCTGGAGGGAACTCACATTTGAACAAACCAAGCCTTCTGCTTCATGAACATGTTAGGTCTCACCATCAATTTAGGTCTTCTTTAAATTCACTCAGCAATATTTTATAGTTTTCAATGTAAAGGTCTTGCAAATGTTTGTTAAATTTATCCGTAGGCACTATAAATACTTTTTTTTCTTAATTTCAACTTCCAAATGATCATTGTGATTGGGAGTACAGATTTTTTGTGTATCAACTTTGTATCCTACACACTTGCTAAAATCACCTATTAATTTCAGCAGCGTTTTTGTGGCTGCCTTGGAATTTTCTGCACAGGCAACCATTCATCTACCAATCAAGGCAGTCTTCTTTCTTCTTTCTAATCTGTGTCCTTTATTTCTTTTTCTTGTCGTATTGTACTGCTAGAGCCTTCAGTACAATGCTGAGGAGGAAGTATTCGGCTTTATGATGCTGAGTTTTTGGTGGATACTTTTTACAGGTTAAGAAAGTTACCCTCTATTCCTTATTTGCAAGAGTTTTTATCATAAATAGATGTTGAATTTTGTCAAATCTGGTAATGTGTGAAAACTTCCATGAGTACAGAGTCAGAGGTGGAATGGGCCCCAGGTCAGCAGTTCAGAGCGTCACTTAATTTACAGATGCGCCAATGACACGCTCAGTCACAGCTGAACTGGTCTAATGCTCTCGCCTCTCAGTGTCTAGACTGGTGCGTTTTTAGAGCTACACTCTGGTAGAAATGAGCTGAAGCAACACCTGAAAGTTGAGAGGAGAGAAGACACAGGAGTCAGGGCCTCTATGCAGCTCCCGAGAAAGGGCCAACCAAGGGCGCTCGGGCCTTTGCTGAGGCACCAGGCCTCTAGTTCAAGGCAAGCTCTACTGCAGTGCTGGGGGAGGGTGGTCAAACAGCCAGAACTCATTACTCACTTGCCACTAAGACTGTCATTCTTTATGAACATATGTGAAAAAAAGGACTCCTTGAAGATTTTCAAAGACTACATCAATTTGGTAGTGGTGCTTTATCGAGCTGATAAGCCCAGCTTTGAATTTTTGGTCAGTTTTTGAATACTAGGATTTTTAAAATTAGGATGTTTGTGTGTGTGTGTGTGTGTGTTTAATTCAACAAAGTACAAAAGTCCCTTAAAACAACAGGACAAGAAAAAGGAACCCCCATGGGAGAAGGCTGACCTGGGAGGTGAGGGTGATGCTTGGCTGCGATTGTAGGAGGTTGGCTTGGCTTTGCTGAGGTAGTTGCGTTAAAAGATTTTGCGCTTGCAGGAGACCTGTTAAAACACAACACATTATGCCAGGAACATCAGGACTACTTTGAACTCAGCAAAAAGAATATGACCGTGAGATGGAAATTTCCAACTGATCTCCTGAGAGTCTTATTGGTCTTACTAAAGTTCAATCTTGCTAATGTGACTTGGGCAAGGAGATATGAAACATTAGACTAAGATGGCATGTCTTTAGTGTAACCTGAATAACCCTCTAATCGGCCAGTTCTTTACTTTCGGGTGGAATGGATGAAAGTGAAGTAGTATAAATGGAAGCAGACTGACATTCATAAGAGCTCAATCTCTCACCCAGAATCCTTCACCAACAACCAGAGAATTGTCTAGTTCATGAAGGGAGCAGACTACCCTTTAAATGTAACAGGCATTTACATAACAAAAGGTTCTGGAGTGAATGGTCAAGAAAAAAGGCTAAGCAACAGCAATGAGGAGGAACCACCCACCCAGACACCCTCTGCACTGATGCCATTAACCAGCTTTACAAACACGATGAACTTGATTGTTGATACAATATTCACCACTAAACAGTGGTGAAGACAGTTTTTATCATTTACAAATTGTGCACACCTTCTAATATAACACCCTCTCCTTCTCAAACCTTAAAAGAAACCAAATGATTGTTAGAAGCATATACTTGAATGCTTGGCCTACATTCTTTGAATACACTTCCAGGAAAAACTACCAAAACGCCAGAAGCAATTTATCCAATTTATGTTCAGCACGTTGAGAGATTTCATTTAGACTTTTGGCCAAACTCTTGGTTCCTCCTTGGTGATTACAGAAATGATGGCAGGGAAGGATGACCTTCAATATTGTGGTACGCGTGAAAAAAATATTCTTCTTAACATGAATACTGAGTTCAAAGGTCAATAAAATTTAAGAAGAACATTGTTCTAATGCAGGGGTCCTCAAACTTTTTAAACAGGGGGCCAGTTCACTGTCCCTCAGACCGTTGGAGGGCCGGACTATAGTTTAAAAAAAAAACTAGTCGGCTGCTAAGCAACAGGCAGCGGCGGCAAAAACACCCGGCGGGCCGGATAAATGTTTTCGGCGGGCCGCATGTGGCCCTCGGGCCATAGTTTGAGGACCCCTGTTCTAATGGGCAGTTTCAGGGCTGCTTGCCCTGCAAGTGGACGGCTGTGATGGGCTCACCCTGCTGGCCCTGGGGCGTCTGTGAGATGATGAACTGTGCTGGCTGCAGGTTGGTGGTTGGATGTACCAGCACGAACTGTTGCAGGTTGAGATTCTGCTGCTGAAGTTGCTGTAGTTGTTGCAGATCCTAAAGCATTAGAATTAAAACATGGTTGGAGAGGGAGATAAAAGTTTGCTTATTCGTAACATTCTCAGATGAGGCGTTCTGTCCCAACCCAATCAGGCAACACTTCTCACTCATGCATGACGCATGCTCCAGTGCGTCCACAATGCGGGAGAAGAAACGGAGCTCCTACAAGGACTATATTTGTTGGCAGATGTTGTGTCATGACTTACGATGAGCCTAATTTTCAATGGTTATTTCCAATTCCCACAATAAATGGTTAAAGGTGTGTTTTAACATGTAGAGACCAATATGGGTTTTAAAAATCAAGTGGAGTTTAAAAATCAAATGAGAAAAGAATTTGAGTTTTTAAATAGTTAACTGATTTTTTTCTCTGAAGTAAAAATTGAGAGTGCTATCTGAATTTGCATAAACAAATTTAAAAATCTATAGTGATTTATGAAATTTGGCACCAGCTCATTGAACTCAACTGAGAAATCATTGTGAAACATTACGTTATCCATACAAAAATCTGATCGATAACATCTTATCTTATTAAAATAATGTCAACATAGGGTCTCACAGCTCAGGCACTAACATGTTTTTGTTGATCAAGGAAGTGGTCAAAATAAAAATGTCATCTTGATAAAGATTGTATATAATAGCCAAAAAAGTTAGTCTGACATCTATTCCCTACTCTTGTAGTTGTTTCTTTGTGCTGTCTAGTCACACCCCCGCTCCCTTTCAGTCCATTTCCAAGGCCTCTCTCGGGGATGAACACAGCTGTCCAGGACCAGGCTCATAACAATCTTCACAGACCTCACTGCCCTGACTACCCCTTCTCTCTTCTTCTCCTTGAGACGAAGGATTTCATTCACCTTCCCTCCTTGGTGGTACTGTCTATGCCTCTTAAATGCATTTTTATTATCTCTGATACTTGGCTCCAAAATGTGAAAAATGAAACCAAACAATGTCCTACCACAGTTCTGCCCAAGCTCCTCGGCTACAGCAGGCGCCTCGCTGGCTCGCACGTGGGCAGCACCCACTGCAGCACCGGACAGAGCCAGGCTGCAGCCAGTGGCTAATGAGACACAGTGACCAACCCCCTGCTTCAAAAATATGCCAGCTAATTACTCAAGACCTGTCACTTAATACAGTCAGTTATTCAAACAATCACTTATGTGTTTATAATATCAACTCAAGCAAACAAATGTATTATCACTTGTAGTTCAGTGGTAAGGAAGGCTACCACTTACCTCACTGATTGAGAGCTCCTGAGCCTGCAAGGGCCCCACTAACAATCAGAAAGTGAATTTCCAATTAAAGAAAAACTGCCCTTCTGATCCTCAGCCCTGCCCCGGCTCCGAGACTGTCCCTCACTTCCTGCTCCGGCTGTGAGACTGCTCCTCTCCCTGCTCCGGCTGTGAGACTGTTCCTCTCCCTGCTCCGGCTGTGAGACTGTTCCTCTCCCTGCTCCGGCTGTGAGACTGTTCCTCTCCGCTGCCCGGCGGTGAGACTGTTCCTCTCCCCTCCGCCGGCTGAGAGACTGCTCCTCCTCCCTCCCCGGCTCCGAGACTGTCCCTACTTCCTGCTCCGGCTGTGAGACTGCTCCTCTCCCTGCTCCGGCTGTGAGACTGTTCCTCTCCCTGCTCCGGCTGTGAGACTGTTCCTCTCCCTGCCCCGGCTGTGAGACTGCTCCTCTCCCTGCTCCGGCTGTGAGACTGTTCCTCTTCCTGCTCCGGCTGTGAGACTGTTCCTCTCCCTGCTCCGGCTGTGAGACTGTTCCTCTCCCTGCTCCGGCTGTGAGACTGTTCCTCTCCCTGCCCCGGCTGTGAGACTGCTCCTCTCCCTGCTCCGGCTGTGAGACTGCTCCTCTCCCTGCTCCGGCTGTGAGACTGTTCCTCTCCCTGCTCCGGCTGTGAGACTGTTCCTCTCCCTGCCCCGGCTCTGAGAGCTACTCACTCACCTGTGCGATCTGTATAGGCTGAGACAGCGGGATCTGCGTCATGGGAGTGGCAGCGGAGGCAGAGATGGTGGCCCCGGCAGCACTGTGCTGTTGGCTGGCAGAGTGCTGCTGTACCGCAGCGGCCAGCAGCTGTGCCTGTGCCTGCGCCTGCTGCAGGAGCAACTGCTGCTGGGCTGGCGTCAAAGTGAGCTAAACAAAATTAGGACAAACAAGTGGAAAGAATTAAAGAAGAAGGGCCCCTAATTCAAGTCAACTGCTCTGAAGGAGGTAACTCAAGTGGTATTAGACCTTAGCTACCAACTTCACATGGTTAGCATGAGACTAAAATGTTCATCAGTGATCAAGCTACCATTACCAGCAGAACATTTAAATGAAAATGGTGGACCTCACTCTGGACTTAAATCATTCAAGCTTGCCCAGGGCCCTAGGTTTCAAGCAAAATAGTAATAAACTAGTAAGCAAGAAGAAAAAGAACCAACACTTACAGGCTATGAAAAGAAATGTATACCCAACAGAGCAGCAAGTGGGTAGTCAGATGAATGAGGACCAAGTAAGCTGCATCTGACATGGGACGGGCTGATAAGGCCCAGCTGCTCCCCATTAGCATGAATCCTGCCCTAGTCCGTCATTTCCATTATGGCTGAAGATATGACTAAAGAATTATGAGCTCCATTTGTTTCTTTTCCAAGTCTCCCTGCAGCCCCCTCCCTCCAACAGTCCTTTCTGTTATTGAAAGCAATGGGTCTGCAACTTTACATCCCCTTTCCCACACGTTATCTCTGTGAAACAGGTGGTGACAGCCCCTCTCTCTACATGCGAATAATTTCTGATGCAGGTTTAACAGAGGCTCCAGCCACATAAACCTGGAATCCCAAGTGTCCCTCACTATTATAGAAACTCGTCACCCAAAGCAAAAACTCAACCAGTAATAGAGGAAATATATTCAGAGCAGATTTAAACTTGCTTTCACAATGCAACTTATTTCAGGCTGCATTAAAGCAGTGTGCTCCTCCTTCCTTTTGATGCCACGCGCTGATCAAAGGAGAAGGAATACTATTATATTCTGAAGAGCAAGGACTGCCACTTGGCGCACACCTCCTCCTAAAGCAGTGATGGCGAACCTTTTGAGCTCAGCGTGTCAGCATTTTGAAAAACCCTAACTTAACTCTGGTGCCGTGTCACATATAGAAATTTTTTGATATTTGCAACCATAGTAAAACAAAGACTTATATTTTTGATATTTATTTTATATATTTAAATGCCATTTAACAAAGAAAAATCAACCAAAAAAATGAGTTCGCGTGTCATAGGTTCGCCATCACTGTCCTAAAGGGTCCGATACAACCTGTCTGTGCCTTAGAGACAGAATCCGAATCAAACGATTCAAAAGTCAGATTCCCTTCCAGATATGTTTATAGAGGTTTCATATAATATATGAACATGTATTCATCTCTACTAATGGGATTTTGTAAACAATTTTGCAATAATTCTTAAAAGAGCTTTCTACTGCCAAAACATACTTAAAGGAAATGAAGGACATACAAAATTTCGTGGGTTGATGTGATATGAATTGATTAATAAATAACTCTTCCTTACTACTCCTTAATACCCCGCCTCCTCCCCCAAAAATAATATGAGAAATTTTCAGCATTAGAAAAATATTTTTAAATATTTTTATTGATTTCAGAGAGAAAAGGAGAGGGAGAGAGAGAAACATTAATGATGAGAGAGAATCATTGATCGGCTGCCTCCTGCATGCCCCCAAATGGTGATTGAACCCGCAACCTGGACATGTGCCCTGACCAGAATTGAGCCGAAACCTCCTGGTTCATAGGCTAATCACTAAGCAATGCCTGCCAGGCTAGAAAAATACAGTGGGGCCTTGACTTACAAGTGTCCCGACTAATGAGTTTTTTGAGATACGAGCCGTCTCTCGGCCGATTTTTTGCTTTGAGTTGCGAGCTAAAATTTGGGTTACGAGCCAGCTTCAGATACCCCACCGCTAGTTGGCGCAGCAAACGTCACAGTGAACGCCACAACATCAGCCCAGCATCACGTGTCACTCGTTCACTTTTTGATTTGACATACGAGTAATTTGAGTTACGAGCTCCGTCACGGAACGAATTAAACTCGTAAGTCAAGGCCCCACTGTATTTTAAATGGTGTCTTAGAGCAAAGACAGCTGAAAAGTTAAAAGCTCAATATATTCACATAGGCCAACTTATCCTATATAACAAAAGCCTATAATGCAAACTGACTGAACGGCAGAACAACCAGTGGAATGACTGGTCACTATGATGTGCACTGACCACCAGGGGGCAGACGCTCAACGCAGGAGTTGCCCCAAACCTGCAGGCCCCAGGCCAGCCAAGGCAGATGCCAGGGGGGCCCCTGATCATCTCGCCGGTCACCCCACAGATCGGCCCTGGCCTAGGGACCCTACCTGTGCATGAATTTCATGCACCGGGCCTCTAGTTGCCAATAAAAATAAATGACATTTATTGAATACTACATGCCCAGCACTGTTCTATGAGTTTTACATACAGTATTACCCTTAGTCTTTATCACAATACTGTGGCATGGGCATTACCAACATCTGCATTTAAGCAAAGGAACACTGAGCCACAGGGAGATGGCATAATTAGCCCAGACAGTAAACTGAGAGCCAGAATTTGAGACCAGAGGCTTAATTTTAGAACATCACACTGTAACTTAAATGTTCTTTTTTTATAGGCATTACTAGTGACCCGGTGCACAAAATTCATGCACATTAAAAGGGAATTAATTAGAGGAAATATTTTAATATTGCTATTTGCCCTTTCTCTATAATAGAAGTGTCAGAGATGAAAGAAAATTAGTAAAATGTATATGAAAATCTTCCTCTTGTCAGAGTCTGGGGCATGCCACGGGAACCAGAGTCAAGTCCTCGCCCACCCATGTGCGCCTCGAAATCGTGCGAGACCCAGACCCGGCCGGCCCCACCCGCATCAAGCCCCGCCAGGTGGGGGGGGTGCGGCCTGAGGTCCCCTGTCAAGCCCCACCAGGCGGGGGCGCAGCCTCAGGTTCCTGCTAATTGTTCTTTAAGGGAACTCGGCCTCCACTGTGGGTGCAGCAATCTTGTGTTATGGAATCCCTGCCTCCACTGTGGGCCCAGCCATCATAACTGTTACCGCGTGACAGTCAATATGCATATGCCCTCTTTATTAGATAGGATTCCCTTCTTTAACTTCTGCTCTGCAATGATGTCATAACGCAAATGGTCACTACTATTCATCAATGCAAGAGTCTCACCCACTGGACAATGATTCCACCGCATGACGAAGCAACAGTGGAAACATGGGCTTAGAAACGCTGTCAGTTTATCCCAAGCATCTGCAACTGTAGAAAATATACCCTGAAAACCTAAGTAATTCCCTTCTCAGAGCTGCCTCCAGTGTAGAGAGTTCCCTAAGACATAATGGTGCTAGGCCCAGGCCCGTTACTGCCTGCTACAGCAGAGTCCTAATCAACCGCTGGCCAATGGCAGTCTGGCACAGAACGTCTATTACGATGCTCCCAGAAAACTTACCCCGGTTATCTGCCCTCCAGCCAGCATGAGCTGGGTCTGCGGGATGGCTGCCTGCACTGAAGGCTGCTGGGAAGGCTGGCTTGGCTGCTGGGAATCCCCCGATTCTTCATTAGATTTAGACTGAAGGTGGGAGGGGGTAAAGAGATTTCAAATTGTTCATTAAAAGAAATGCACTTATAACTCCATATTTCAAGAATTATTTAAAACATGAACTTATTCAGTCATGAGTTTTCTGGTTTCATTCTTTTCCTTTCTTATAAATCTGTGTATTTTCCTGATTTTGCATATTAAGTTTATAGATTTTTTTTGTTCCATTGCCAACAAAGCTGTATTATAATTTTTAAGAAGAAAAAATAATTTGGTCCTCCACAAACCGGCGAAATTCACCCTAATCCTCCCCTCTGGGAAGGGGTGAGGGGAGAGCGCACTTTCCACCCCTCTACAGGAGAGCTTCCCACCCCACATTCCGAAGGGCCTTTGGTGGGCAGTCTGGCCTTACTCCCACGCAGAGAGTGATTGCCTGGCCCACGGAACTTCCTTTAATATCTAGAGAACTTTAACCTAGCATCGCCCATCAAGTAACACCGCAGCTTAGAGGGAAACTCTGCCCTCAGGAGGGAAAGAACTCAGTCCTGGAGAGGCACTGAGAAAATATTTTATGTTAAATTAACACTGGTTATATAGAGCATTGAAATGTTGCATAGATTTGCATATTTCCCACCACCTGTTTTGGGGACTGCAGCAAGGCTAATTAACATAGAGGCTCTGATTAATTCTGCCAGTCAGTGAGGTAATTACAGTGCAGGACTGTAAACACACGGCACTGGAGACACAGCCTGTTTGCCAACATCTCTCTAAGGGATGAAAGTTTACCATGGCAACCCAGGCGATTTTCCACCTCCTCTCCCTCACAAAGGGAGGTTGCACTATCTCCCTCTCCTTTCCCTCCTTGTTTCCATGTAGGCCCATATTCCACTGGGTTGCATGGAATGCTCAAACCCGAGGTCTTGAGTCATTAGCAACACTGAAACCAATCTTCCAGAAACTGTGTCCCCTCTTGGCTCTTAGTTACCTAAACACGCTAATGAAAAGAAGCAGCAGGTTGATTGAAATATTAAGGAGTCATGCCTAATACTTGAACTTGGCATGCCTTTGCCATATGATTCACAGCAGCAATGCAGCCAGATTTAAGTTTTGTTTTAAACTTGTGACTGACTGAAGCACATCAATATCTATAAACAGGTTCCCTTACAATCCTCAGAATCATAACATTTCTGAGCAGAGAGGAACCCTGGCAATCCTCTCAGTTACCCACTTAAAGGCAGATCAAAAGACATGAGCCCCAGAGGTTAAGTGACTTGCTAAAGGTCACACAGCTAGCAGGCACAGAATGAGACTCAAACCTAAGACCGGCTCTCAGTCCTGGACAGTTCCTCTGCACTAGAGTGTTTCTCTAAGATATGACGATGAGCAACAGAAAGACGGTTGGAAACAGGACATTTATGACGTTATTTGGCTTGGTGTTTAGGGATGCACTACAGCTACATAACTTGGAAACGTTTTTCCTGGACTTACACAGAAAACTTTTGAAAACTGACTTTTCTTGATCGCTTTTGGTCATTCACAGTAGCAGCATCGTGTAAAATCCATCTTCATTAGTGGCAATGATTACCTCTATTTGGATCTTCATGAGAATCAGTAATACAAAAAGGGTACTACTCCTAAGTATTTCCTATTATAAAATTATTGCCTGCTCATTCCATGAAATTGGGAAACTAGGGGAAAATGGAAAAATTGCCCGCAAGCCCACGTGCCAGCTTACCTGTACATTTAAAGTCTGAGCAGCGGCCTGTAAACTTGTTCCTGCGAGCTGGACCTGCAGGTAAGCAACCAGGGGCATCAGGGTCTACTTGCTGACACCATCATTAGAGCTGTCCTCAACAAGGACTTCAAGCGCCTCTACCAAGTGTGTCATTGAGCTAGAACTGAGGCTGAAAGAAGTTTACCTGCTGGGGTTAAAACTGTGCAGACAAGTTCGCGGTCCCTCCACCGCCCAGGAGAAAATGCTGCTCCCACTGCTTTCTGGAGGGTGTTGCCCACACTCAGTTAGCATCACTGGGATGCCACACTGTGTCAGTCAGACATTCCTTACATCACATTCTGCTTGTATTCATAGACACTTAGATCTAAAAACTTAATTCATCTTCCACATTGTATGAAAGAACACATATGAACAAGCTACTTACATGCATTATTGTTATTATAATCTATCAGAATTATCTGCTCACTCTAATTTCAAAATCTCCATGTACACAGCAGAGTAAAAATCTTACATATGTGCACACCACATAGTCAAGTTTTTAAGACATGATAGCCCTAACGACAAGCTCTAGCTGAAAGGATTCTGTCCTACAAAACACACAGAATGCTGTCATACTATTTCATACTCACATGTCATATGTTCAGAAATTCAAACCACGGTTACATTAAAATAAGGATCACCACTGGGACCATGATAATAATAAATGACTCAGGCAAACATAATCGATGGAGGACTAACATAATATTGACACATTCTCAGCTGTGAGGTCAATAGCTATAGTCAACTAAACTTTAAGATGTGGACTAGCCATTCAGAATGGCACGATTAGATGTGATTAGCACCAGGCTCGATCAACTTAAGAAGTCCCACATCCTGAAAGACCTGCCCAGGCCCCAGCATCCAGGCCTCCATCCTTCCCTTGCTCACAGTCAAGCAGAACATTCTACCTGGTGGAGATGTCCGAAGAAAGCCTGGGCCTGGGCTGTTGAGATTGCTCCTCCAACAGGCACAGGCTGCTTCTGAAAGTCCAGACCATTCGTTTGTGTGCCTAGAAAGCAAGCAAAAGAACATAATTATGACAAACACAAGCTCAACTGAAATTAAGCACTAGACTTCAGTTACCAACATTTACCAGGCATCTATTTGTATAAGCACTTTCCAAAGTATCTCCAAGGAGGCGGAGAAATGCAAAAGAAAGTGCACTACAATAATTTCTAAAGGCAGGACGGCAGGACAAGTACCCAAGCACAGAGAGAGCATAGGAAACAGGAACAAAACTACAAATTATCATTACAATCTAAGACAGTGTTGGAGAAATCAGGAGTGGATGCAGTGACTGGGAAACAGGCCTAACAAGCATGAATGAGAGGTACTTAGGAAGAGATGACTGTCATCTCACTGCTGTTAAGATGGTGGAGACGGAGCTGCAAGGAGGTACCAAGGTTCTCCCCTGGTCTCATCCTTCTCAGCATTTGGCTTCGACAGAAGAAATTCACTGGTGACTTTGACAAGAGCAAGACAAACTTATTCTTAACTTAAACACATCCTATACAATAAAAACCTAATATGCAAATTGTCCCCTCAACTGGGAGTTTGACTGCTCGCTATGACATGCATTGACCACCAGGCGGCAGCGCAGAACATGGCAGGCATTGGCCATGCGGCACTGGCAGCAGGCGGCAGTGGAGACGCTGCCGGCCCCAATGGGCTCCAATGAGAGCAGGACCATGGTGGGATGGTGGAGCCAGTGAGCGGGCATCACCAGACCAAGGCGGGTGTGGCCCCGCCAATCACCCTGCAGACGGTGACTGGTGGCGGCGGCGGGGGATCGCCCTGCTGATCGCCCCGCAAATGGCGACCAGCAGTGGCGGTGGGGGCAAGGGGGCCCGTCCGGTGTGACTCAGTGGTTGAGCATTGACCCATACACTAAGAGGTCATTCTCTCCCAGGCACTGAGGGAGAAAGGGCAAATAGCAATATTAAAATATTTCTTCTAATTATTTCCCTTTCAATGTGCACGAATCCGTGCACTGGGCCATTAGTTAATAAATAACAACCTGATGGCTAAAACAGCCATTTACATGATAATCAAAATAGTTTTACTACTGTATTCAATCCCAAAGTTTAGCTTGAGTCCTATAAGTAACTAGTGGCCTGGTGCACGAAATTTGTGCACTTGGGTGGGGCGGGGGGGGGGGGGGGATGTTTCCAACATGGCCTGTGCCCTGTCACAGTGTGGGAGCCCCGCAATAAATCACTCCAAGGAGGTAGGCCCCACCCACCCATCCAGAGCTCCTCGATGGATTGCCCCAAAGAGGTAGGCCAGAGCCAGGGGAGGCCTGCAGACCCCAGCACGTGGTGGCAGAGGCCCCACCACGACCCCGCCCCTGGGCCGGGGGGCCAGGAACGTGAGCCTCACATCATAGGCCCATTGCTGGGGGCGGGGACGTGAGTCTCATGTCTCCAGGCCAGTGCAGGGGGCAGGGACGCGAGCCTCATGTCTCTGGGCCAGCACATGGGGCGGGGATGCAGCCTGCTGATCGGTCATTATGTGACAGCGTCCAACCAATTTGCATATTATCCTATTATTAGATAGATTAGCAAGGGCTCTGCGATTATTATAATTTTACAAATGTTAGAATCTGATGTTAGAATAGGACTAACTTGTGGAAAGACATACCACTCTAATAACCAGAAATACATCTAAGGTATCTAAGACATTGTTTTCAAGTTACCATATCCAACTATTAGTTAGAAAACATCAGAATACTTTACACTGAATAAAATAAAACAGACTGCAGGAACCTGCAAGAACCATACAGACACATGATCGAGTATTGCCCTTCCACTTCCCACCACTGGAGTACCCATCTCCTTGCCCTCACCTCTCTGTGTACATAGAGCACAGCAGTTAGGAGAGTAAAGCAGTATTTCTAAAAGGTGTAACTACTGCCATTATGTGTCTTAATTCCTAGGAAATGTATCAATTTTCCTTGAGATAATTATAAAAGAAACTAGAGGCCCGGTGCACGAAATTCGTGCACTGGAAGGGGGTGTGTCCCTCAGCCTGGCCTGCGCCCTCTTGCAACCTGGGACCCCTTGGGGATATAGCAGTGCACCATATAGGAAGAGCCAGAACCAGGGAGGAGCCAGAACCAGGGCGGGGCCCCGCTTGCGCTCATCCTGGCCCATTGCGCCCGCTGCTGCCGCTCAGTAGTGCTGCCACAGAGTTGGGAGAGGCTCCCACTGCTGCAGCTGTGCTCACCAGCCGTGAGCCCGGCTTCTGGCTGAGCGGCACTCCCCCTGTGGAAGTGCACTGACCACCAGGGGGCAGCTCCTGCATTGAGCTTCTGCCCCCTGGTGGTCAGTGCACATAATAGCAACTGGTCAACCGGTCATTCTGGTTGTTCTGGTCATTCCATCGTAACGGTCACTTAGGTTTTTATATATAGATAGATAGATGTGTATATACATTGCACCTCCTTAAAATCTCAGTGATTGTTCTTTTATGTTTTTTTCCCATACATAGGATACTATAGAACTATCTAGATCTATGAAGTTAATGAATACAAGATACCTGCTTGTGTCAAATAATGATGGACTAGTATAGTGATTGGGGTCACTTCTGGAAGCCACACACTATAGAAGTTTCACTCTCTTAAAGTTGAAACGCTGCTGTTTCTATCTCTATGCACAAAATCATTACTAGGTTAAGATTTTCAGAGAGGCCTGTCTGGTGTGACTCAGTGGTTGAGCATTGATTGACCCATGCACTAAGAGGTCGTTCAATTCCTGCTCAGGGCATATGCCAAGTTGCTGGCTCAATCCCCAGCAGGGAGTGTGCAGGAGGCAGCAGATTAATGTTGATGTTTCTCTTCGATGTTTCTCTCCATCTCCCTCTGTCTCTAAAATTAATAAAAACATATTTAACAAATTTTTTAAGAGTGTACAGAATTACAGAAAACATGCTAGGAATAAATCAAGAAGGCTGAAGGAGGGTAAGATTTTGACAAGCAGAGACAAGAACTAGGAATGGACACATCACCAGTTTTGGAAGTCTGCCAGAACCAAGTGCTCCACTCTCATGGGACCACAAGAGATCTGAACACTGGTTCCACTTCCAAGTTCCCACAAAAATGGTAACAAGCCCCTTATAAGTCAGACAGCACTAACTAACACAAGACTGATTGATTTCTGGTATCCCTGGTATAGATCCTCCTACAAGGACCTACAGGTAATACTATTTAGGTGCTCTGGCTCTGCCACTGGGACATGGCATAAAGGTAGGATACCCAAAGCTAGTAAGGTAAAAAGAACATTCCACAATTCCAATAAACAGAGATGTAAGATGCAAAGGCAGATGTTTTTTAATAAGGTGATGAGCGACAGAAGAAAGTAGACATGATGTAGAAATCATTCTTATAAAACATAGAGACTTAAACTCAGCTAAAAGGAGAGGAGAGGGAACATAACACACACACACACACACACACACACACACACACCCTGATCAGTCTTGAGTATGAGGACAATATGGGGAGACAGAGTGTTGGGAGCCAGCACCAAACATGTGCCTGGAAAACTGGGAACATCCAAGTAAAAAACCAGGGGAACAGACAGAGGAGAAGGTGAATTTGCAGAAAGGAAGGTTAACCTCAGAGAGAGAGAACTCAGAAATCCTGACCAAACAGGGAAGAAAAGTGATCCAGAAGGCAGTTTCAGATGACAGGCCGAGCTCACACTTCTGTAAGGCTGTTCCTGGAATGGCATTACAAGGTGAACTGCAGAGATCTTGTGTCCAACCTCTTTGTCTTATTGGTGAAGAAACAGCGTAAGAAATATTCAGTGGATTGCTCAACACGTCGCTAGTGTGTGGAAGAGCCAGGACATGGAATGTGTTCCCTGATTCTGTTAATCACTTACAGCGAAGTGACAGCTAAAATCAGGAGAGTAAAAATGTCTATCAGAGAAGAATGAATATAGAGAAAAGAGGGTTGAAGACAGGAGGGTACCAACATGAGGAGATGAAAAGTCAAAGAGAGCCAGAAAGGGGGCAGCTAAGAAAGTAGAAAGACCTCTCAAGACTAGTGTGCTTCAGAAGCCAGTGAAGAGAGAGCTACGGGACGGAGTAGTTTAATACTGTCCAATGTGCAGCAAAGAGAAGGAAGTGTTAAGAGAGAAATTAATCCAAAGAGAACAGAGGAGAAGCAATAATAAAGTTAAAACCAAAAACCAGTGAAACAGCAACAAAAACACATCCAGGGGTACGAAAAAGGAGGTTTATGGTTGTAATAAAAAATACAGTAATCCTATATAATAAAAGGCTAACATGCAAATTGTCCCCTCCGGAGTTCGATGGACCAGGAGTTCGACCACTCGCTATGACATGTGCTGACCACCAGGGGGCAGCACAGAACGAAGGAAGGCCCCGGCTGGCAGCTGGCAGCTGGGGGAAGGAAGGCTCCGGCCGGCAGCCAAAATGCTCCAATCAGCCCTGATCGCTGGCCAGGCCAAGAGACCCTACCCATGCATGAATTTCGTGCACCAGGCCTCTAGTTAATAAATAATAATACAAGAATAAACTGTGTTTCATGTACACACAACTTAAACCTATTTTTGCCCACCGTGTTATAGAAACACCAACTCGGTTCTTTCGAAAAAATCACGTAACTTACAAACTTCTCTTACAATGGAACAAGAAAGTAAGAGGCGGAGCAAGTATTTTAAGGCTAACACAAAGGGCATCACTGAAAAATGCCACAGATACTAACAAGATGAACCAATAAAATCCATACCAATAACATAAAAACATAGAAACGGATAACTCTAGAAAAGAGAACATATCAAGACTGACTAAAACACAAATAGAAAATCCATAGAGGCCACATTTTTGAAGAAATTATATTAATAAGTAAAATCCCCCACCCCCCACCCCAAATGAAAAGCCTAGACAATTTTCCTCTGTTTGCTTCCAAAAATCTAAGGCAAAGTAATTCCAATCTGTACAGCTTTTCCAGAGTTGAGGGTAGGGGAACACTTCCTAATTCAT